GCAAAAGATCCAGTGATAAACGCATTAAGTAATAATATGCTAATGGTGTCTAATTTACCCACTTTATATTCTGTCATAAAAATATTAGTAAGCATCAACCTGATATTTGGAGAACGGACTTGATTCCCAATTTGTGTGTAAGATCTAGTACACCTTTTGCATGTATATGGTTAACTTTATTGGTTGTATTGCAGTACATTTAGGCAAGTTTGGTACTGGTATATATTTACTACCTATAGTGCAGTAAATAATGGTTAGAAATGCATCCTCCTAATTTTCTCTATGAGCTTAGAAAGCATTAATGAATTAACAGCATGGGTCACTAAGGGACCAAAATTCCTTACTATTCACATTTACGTGTGTGCTCTTTTCATTCTACTCATGGCATCTCACCTTCCTTTCCTTTCTTGGGGGCCTAGGGAACAGGGCGGGAAGAGGCCTGTCTCAGGCTGCCTGAGCAATGGGGCACGGACCCAGCCAGACCTCCCCTGTGTCACACAGCGTAGGTACACAGTGCCCCATGGTCCGCAAGCATTGGCCTGATTCCAGGATCAGACCCCTCCCTCCCAGTCCACCCCCAGCCCTCTCCCTTCCCTTCAGTCACCCACAAATCCTTGCCCCAGCGGCCAGGCTCCAGTTCAAACAGAACTTCCTGAGAAAGCAGCCCTGAAGCCACAGCCATTCAACCAGCCAAACCGGAAAGTCACAGAACGCAGAGGAGAGCAGCTGAACAGTTGTCTTTAAAACAAAAGGTCTAGAGACCAGAGACAGGTATACTCAGGGAAGACCAGGGATGGGCAGGAGAAAATCAACTCAGGGGCAGTCCCTTCAGCTTGTATTAGTGGCTTATATGTGCCACTCCTGGCTGCCTCACAGAGTGAAAACCAAAAGTCCCTGCACACAGGTGTCCACGTAGGATAGGGCACAGTCTCCTTGCCTGGGCAGGCAGCACACATCACATGAGGCCTTTCAAAAGTTGCCAGGTTGCTCAGTGGGACCTGAGAAAATGGGTGCCGGTGTAGAGTCTGGTGTTGGTGCCCCATGAAGGGGAAGGTCGGGCTGAGAGGTTCCCTCTTTGCCCAGATTCTACCACAGCCCTTGGCTCGTCTTCTGCTGCAAGTCTTAACCTCTCTTCCAGCCGACAACCCAAGTGCCATTCACCACATCAGAAGTCGCTCAGAAACTTATTGTGAAGGCTCAAGCTCCACCCTACTCGGCCAGGCCCTCAAGGCCCTCTGCCTCCATTCATTCAAACTTTATGGCGATCATGTCTAGCCCTGCGCTAGGACTACATAAACAAAGAGGAATAAGATTGGGTCTCACCCTCCAGGCACTTATAGTTTGGGAGACAGAGAGATAAACACAGGAGTGTTCTCACTCTTCCCCTAAAAACCCCCTTCTGTTCCAACCAGACTGCCCAGAGTCCCATGAACACCCACTGAATTCCCACCTCTGTTGTTTCTGCTCCTGCTACGCCATCTGCTCCTTCCCCTACAGGAGCTGAAAAGCAGCCCACACGGCAAGGCCCGGCTTCGGCTTCCCCCTCCTCCTAGAGCCTTCGGTGCGGCTTCTGGTCCACAGAGCCCCTCTGCTTCTCCGACCTCCTCTAGCTCTTGGTTGTAGTAATGGCACTCACTGTCCCCTCACCACTCACTGGCTGCCTCATGCCGTCTTACATCATGGTTCAGCTGCTGCCACTGACTGCAAGACCTTCATGAACAGTAACAATCAAGATCATCATGGATGCCCTACATCTGAAGAGCATTTCATTAAGTGCTCACAGATACATTATCTTGCGGCCAAGGCTCTTTTGGCCTGTCCCGCCTCCCCAGGTAGAAGACAGGCTTCTGTGGGCAGGCAAAGGTACAATATAATACGTCTCTAAATGCCTGGCACAGTCCTTTGTAGTGAATGTTCAGTTGATTTAACAGGTAACACAGTCTTGTCAGGAAACAGCAGAGAACTTTAAGGCACCCGCTGCCCACCTCTGCACCACATCTGGGTCAGCACAGCTGCATGGGAAAGGAATGCCAGTGGCACAGGTCCAGCTGCAGGGTCACCTGCCCACCTGCTGGCTAGAAAGAAGAGTGGTGGTCAGTGCCTGCCTGGGAGGCCTCCTCACTGCCCCGCGGCCGGCCGTCTCTCAGATGTTACAGGCTCTTACAGGAAGAGGCATAAACAGTAAAATCACAAAAGTGCCAGCCTAATGATATCAACATGGTCCGAGAATCTGAAATCTGTTTTGGCATTACTTGGTGAGTTGCCTCATTTTCCCCATTCACAAAAGAAGCTCCAAGAAAGGTGCCTAGATCAATGCCAGCAAGGTAAAAGAATGTGCCTTAGGCAAGGTGTGGCTCGAGAGAGGTGACATGCAGTATTCATCTTGGAATCTCCAGGTCTCAGCACCGAGCCTACCCGTAGGACACATTTGTATTTCTGACTAGATAAAGGAATGGATATGACTTGGTAGTGCCCATTCTCTTGGCTCCTTCCTTGATTGTCTCCTGGCTACCTCTTCCCGCTTTATGGAAAACTTTCTATATCCAGAAAAGGGAAAAGCTTTTCCTGATCATCCCACTCTTTCCCCAAGTCTTAGCTAATGCTGAAAAAATACGCCCAAGATGTGGTAGAATAAGCTTTCAATAAGAAAGTGTCTAAGAAATCCAGTGGGCAGATTTTAAAAGGCTGATGTGAAGAAAGACAGGTTCTTTCTCTTCCACAGAATCCAAACTCCTCAATAGTCCTCTGCCTCCTGGGGGACAGGAAGCCATCAGAAGCAGAAAGAAAAGTAGGAGAACTGTCTCCAGGTTTTAGGTCAATATACCAGCGGACTTGTGGGGACAGGAGGGCTGAGGTCCTGCAGATACATGTCCGCCCAGTTCACTGATTCACCTCTGCCTACAAAGCGAGCAGCCCCAGAGGGAACCTGAGGAAGTCCCTGGGACCTGGGAGGGAAAAGGACACATTTACCTATCTAGCTGGGAGAAATCTCTAAGATGGGAGAAGACAAAATAGAAGATACATTAAGGAGAAGGGCTGGTAATTAGCAATATGGGGGTCAGGGATCTAAGGAAAGAACCAGCCTCAGAAGGGCCATCTTGGTATTTCAGAAACAGCAGTTCCCTCATTTGTCTGTGGGAAAGGGGAACACGTCTCCTAGGGAAGGATAACTGCCCCACAACACTGAGCAGAAGCCCAAGAGCTTCTGAAGTGAGGTGGATGCGTAAAGCTTCCCAGGGACAAACTTGGATCATTCCCAGGACTTGAAATGTGGCCAGGATACCAGGGTGCAAATTACTGCTCTTCAGGCAAAATCCAGGAGCCCCCAGGCAGCCCACCGCCCGCTGTGATAGCTCAGTGGCTCCCGGAATTGGCCCATCCCCCAAATAACCACTGAAAGTTTCCTCAAGTGTTAACCGGCTGCCTTTTGTCCCCACTAACCTACACCTGTCCTCATATCCCGTAGGGCTCCTCAGCCACTCCCTTGCTCGCTCCCAGGCCCTTCCCTACTGCCTCCTCTTTCCCCTTAATCTTCCCCCGAGGCATGCAGCCCTCTCCTGGCCTCTGTGTCCTACCTATCCCTCTGAGATATCTCTCAAGCAGCTCCTGGACCTCCTAGGAGCATGCCTTACAGCTTATAAGCCCCTGGTAGGTCAGTGATGATAACAGCAATGACACCAGCATTATCCTGTTTCACCAAGTGTTTGAGTTTGTGCTAAGTGCTTTTGCAAACATTATCTCATCTATTCCTCACAACCCCTTGGTAGGTAGGTACTTATTATTATTCCCATTCTATAGAGGAGAAACTAAAAGTCAGAATCTTAGGTGATATTCAAGGTCATGTTGCCCTAAAGTGAGGTCTGCAGGTCTGTTGGACAAGAAAGACTGCCTCTTAACCACGAGGCCCTGTTCCTCCTGGCTCCACCTGCTCCCTCTTCTCTCTTGGCAAGAAGTGTGTGTTGGGAGGCAGGGCAGAAGCCTCAAGGGTAATGGAGTGCTAGGGCCCTGTCTGGCAGGAGGGGGGACCTGGGCAGTGCCCAGGCTACTCTGGATATCAGGCAGGGGACCTGTTAGATGTGGGTGGAGTTCCCTCAATGAACACCTCCCAGAGAAGGAGCCCCCTACGGGTGGTGGTGGTGGGGGGGGGTCACCATCCCCTGCCAGAACAAGTGATCCCATCTCCATCCTGCCTGGGATGCCACCAGGCCTGTCCCTCGAAGCACTGCATTGCCAGATCAAAGAAATGTATTCTAAGGTGGGTCGTGCCTGCCTTCTGCCCCACTGTCTGGAGAAGTAGCCCTGATGTTCCTCAGCCTCTTTCCAAACGGATGCTTAAGTCAACTGCTTTCCCGGAACTGGCTCGTAAGTGCCCGTTTCGCAGAACGTTGGCATCTCACCTATCTACGCCCTTCTCCAGGTGTCCCACCTTGCGGCTTACCTTCACAGCTGTGCCCCTGGAAACTCAATCTCTTTGGCTCCTCCCTCCCTTCCTCCTTTCTTCCCCCTCCAGGCTCCACATTGGGTCACCCCTGAACCGAGGGTACCCAGTGACTCAGTGACTTGGCTCCCCACTCTGAACTCCTCAAGCAAAGGTTTTAAATCCCCCACCCCCTCTACCTTGGGGTGTGGGGGTGTCATTTCAGTGGTTAAGATTCTGGCTGCCCCAGCTCAGGGTACCCAGGCCTACACCCGCTCCGGTTCTCTCCGCTTCGATGGGAAGGCTCCCCAGCGCCACCCCAGAGAACCCACCTCCAGTCACAGACAGCAGCAGGGACCCCTCGCCTCCAGGAACCGAGGCTCAGATCGCCAGCCGGTGGCCCCTCACCCTGGGATTTACGCGCTTGCCCTGGCCTCTCGCCTCCCCGTCTTCAGCCGAAGAGGCGAACAATTCCTCCCGGGCTGGTGGGGAAGGGGAAGGGGAAGGGACCACCGGGCAGACGGTGGCGGCGGGGAGGGTGGCGGCAGGGAGGGTGGGGCGCCCCTGGGCCACCGCCCCTTACCGATAGTGGAGATGTGCGAGGAATGGAACTCGTTGTCGGTGAAGCGGCACAGCAGGCAGGTCTTGCCCACCCCGGAGTCCCCGATCAGCAGCAGCCGGAACAGCACATCGTACTGCTTCGCCATGGCTGGGGCCGGAGGAGCCCACGGTGCGGCGGGCGGCGGGCTCAGCCCCGCTCAGCCGCTTCCATCGCGGCGCGCGCCTGCCCGGGGACGCCGCGGGCGGCGAGGAGGAAGGCGGGCCAGCCCCCGCGCCGGCCTCCCAGCTCCCTAAGTGCCGGGAAGCGCGGTGCGGCGGGAGCGCGGAGGGTGGAGAGCGCGGAGGCCGTCCCCGCCCGCCCCTTCCCCTGCGCTGTCGCTGCCGCCGGGAGAGGGGGCGGGGAGCGCGCGCGGGAGAGCCGCGACCCCACGGCGCGGGCGAGGCAGGTGCGCGCTCCCCTCCCGCAGGGTGCGCGGCCTGGGAGGGCCCGACTCCCTCTGAACTCCTTCTCAACCCCCTCCCAGCCCCCTCCCAACCTCTTTGTGTCGGGAACCAAACCCCGGGGGAAACATTTTTGTTTTTTCTGCGGACATTCTGAATGGGTGAGTTGCAGTGAGCTCCCACCCGGCCCACCTCTACCAAACTCAGCTTTTGGGTCTCATCTCTTCTCCCCAAATCGCATTTCGAACCCACCAACTTGCCAATTCCGCCTCCCCCCGACACCCCGCCCCGCCAGCACCCCCAGCACCGCGCCCCCTCAGAAGCTTGGTGGTGGTGGTGGTGTGCGTGGGGGCCCAGTGGTTGGTCCCGACCTGGGTTCTTTCCAAGTCGAAGGCCTCGATCAGGGTCTGGATTCAAACAGCCATCTACTCTTGAAGCCGGGATCTCCAGGAACGCGGGAGAGTGTTGCTAGAATTCTCCCTCTCTGCCATCTGGCCTCCCCATAACACTGCGTGACTGCGTCTGCCCTCCTCTGTCCTCTCCCATCCAGTTTTTCTTTAAACGGGGAAAATTGCTGACCTCTTTCACCAGGCTGGAAAGATAGATGGTCATAAAAACATTTCCAAGTGCAAAATCCTTTGGAAGCGTTGTGCAGACAAAAGTCTCTGTTTTGGGTCTAAGCTGCTTAGGGTAGGTACTCAGGATGCCAGTACATTATTTCAAACCACTAAGTATTTCTGCTAGTGTACACAATGGCACCAAAGAATGAATGGGCCTCTTTCAAGACCTAATTTACTACCGCTGAATGTGTTAACGCTGGAAAGAGCCAAATGAGTGTTCTCTAGAGTCTAGAAAATTGCCTATTCCTAAGAATGAGTATTAGGGGAGTCTAGCCCATTAGATCTTTAAAAAGTGATGAACGTGTGTGTGTGTGTGTGTGTGTGTGTGTGTGTGAGAGAGAGAGAGAGAGAGAGAGAGAGAGAGAGAGAGAGAGAGACTGTTTTCAGGCTGAGTATTGGATTGAGAGTGTTTTGCAGGAGTGGGTCAAGGAAAGCAGTAAGTCCACTTACTTGAAGAATTATATCGCAGGCAAAGTGTCTAAATTTATAATAAAGAGAAAAAAACTGAACTTGATAGCTACATTGATTACATTGGAAGCTAAGGAAACTGATCCTGTGGATTCTATTAAGATTTCTAGGGGTGTTTCTCTTCTCTGCATTTACACTGGGTTTTTGGTGCTGAGGGCTCGGCAGCTGGGCATCCTTGGGTCCTGTCCCAGCTCCTCCACTCATCAGCTTTGCAACCTTGAGCATGTTACTGAACGCCTGTGCCTCAGTTTCCCATCTGTAAAATCAGCATGCCCTCACAGGATTGTTGGAAAGATAAAATAATGCGTGGCAAGGACTTAACATAATACATGATGCAGTACTCAGTAAATGCCGAAGGAAAAAACCACCCCGTAATTTTTCCCTGTGCACATGTGGGTAGTAAATAGATCCCCCTGACAGCCAGGGATGTTTTCCAGGACTCAGGCCAGTCCTGCTGCGATTTAACTCCACAGACCACACACAGTATGGAGTGCAGGCTCAGCTCAGCCTGACCCCATTTGGGCACTGCAGTGGCCTTCCCATTGATCGGCACTGTAATGATAAATGCTCTCCACAGCCTCCTTATTGGGACCATTAGTGGCTCTCTGCTTGCCTGTCTGGGGAAGCAGGAAAGCAGTTGCAACAGGAGGTGAATTCTTAGTCCAAGAAAGAGCTTCACTTTGAAGGAAATGGCTTTCCCTAGGCAAGACAGGAAAGGAAGAGAGGTTTCCTGAACAAATCCACGGAAATAAATGCTCAGACTCATGAAAAATGGGGGATATTTTTCCTGCTGGACTCATCCCACGTTCTGTAGGTTACATCGCTTAAGAGCGTGGGGGAGGACGAGGAGCACCAGAGGAGAGCAGGGAAGCTCCACGCTTTACCCCACACCTTGACCCAATGCATTCCTGTCTGGCTGTTCTTGAGCTATATCCTTTTTATAATTAGCTGATGATCTATGATATATATAAAGAAGTAGTCTAGCAGTCCAAGCTTTTAGATTTTCCATTATCATCCTGGCTCAGCTACTTGAAAGATGTTTCTGAAGAGCCATCATACAGGGCTCTCTCTTTCTTGTGTGTATGCACGTGTGCCCCTATACACACTCTGTGAGATGTTGGAACTGAGATTTTGGGACAATGTTAGTAAAAGAACCACATAACAACCAACGACAACAAAGTTTGCTTCAACCAGGATCTTTGTAAATAAAATGCCTAATTCCATCCCCTTCCGTCAGTCCCTCAGTGGGACATTTTGGCAACTTCTCCAGTTAAGGTCAACTTGAACTGGAACAGATTTCAGTAGCACTGGCAGATATCCGAGGAATGGTTGCTGAGGATCTCAGAAGAATCTCCCAATTACGTTATTTTCACTCTTTAACCAGGGACAGAGTGCTTGCCCCTGCTCCCTGTCACCCGCAGCTCAGCCACACTGATCATGCTCCCAGCAGAGACATCACTGTGGGATCTGCCACAGCAACAGCTGAATAACTGGAAAGATGAACTGATAGGTAGCTCACCGCTGAGACTCAACACAGGTGGACCATGGACTCCTCATTAGCAAAACCCTCTGACTCTTCTGGACTCATACCCGTGTTTCCTACTCTGGGTGGCCGTGAATGATGTCCTCATCTTGCAGAAGCATTTCCGCCTTATCTCAGGGTTAGAAGAAACAGCACAGACTCCTGGTGCCATCTTCTCAATACTGTTCTCCATTCATATTCTTTTTCTTTTCTGTCTCTGATATATAGAGAAAGGAGAGGAAAGAGACTCTGAAATGATAAGGAAAGAGAGGAGAAGGCAAGTTGTCAGACACTTGTGCATATTGGGGTTGGGAGTGAAAGAAGACAATCCTGATGGCAATTTTTGTTAACACAAAATGGCCCACAGTACCATTACATGTTGTCTTTGGTGCCCTGGCCCCCACCTCCCTGACTATATTAGTTTGCTTGGGCTGCCATAGCAAAGTACCATAGACTGGGTAGTTGAAACAATAGAGATTTATTTTTCTCACAGTTCTGGAGGCTAGGAATCCACGATGGAGGTGTTGGCAGGGTTGGTTTCTTCTGAGTCCCCTCTCCTTATACCTGGCCATCTTTATGTTCACGTTTTCTTTATGTTCAAATGTTATGTGCCTGTCTGTGCCCTAATCTCCTTCTCTTAGCAGGACACCAGTCACAGTGGATTAGAGTCCACCCATATGATCTCACTTTATCTTCATTACCTCTTTAAAGGCTCGAACTCCAAAAATACCTCCAGTCACATTCTGAAGTATTAGGGGTTATGACTTCAATATATGAATATGGGGCGAGGGTGATACAATTCAGCCTATGACAAGGAACAAATCTGGGAGCTGCATCAGATATTTCCTGTGTACAGAGAGTTTTTAGAGTAATTTCATTCTCTCAGAACAGGAAATGAAAGTTGTGTCTTTCTTGTGGCTTTTTGATAGGCGGTCTAGACTGTAGAAGTGGAGGTTTTGTGATGGGAAAGCATCAGAAGAGGGATACTTTTCTTTATGAGACTGGAGCTGAGAGACATGACTGGCAACTTCCAACCAAGCAATGTTTGTTGTATTAAACTTTTATTGTCAAAGTTATCTTTTGGGGAACAGAATGTAACGTGCAGTTAGGAAGCTTTGCACAATGTGTCATTGTAAGTATTCGTTAAGGTAATGCTGGTTACTGTAACAGATAAACCTCTAAATCTCAGCGTTTCACACTGTTAAGATGTATTTCCCTCTCATGTAAAGTCTAATGGGCAGCAAGGAGGTGGGACTGGGGGTAGCTTTGTTCCACAAAGTCATTTAGACACCCAGGGTGGCTGAGATTCTGCAACAAGATTCACATTGTGGGACTCGTTTGAAAAGCAAGACAGTGCCCTTCCTAAGAGCTGACATGCAAGAAGGTTGGAGGAGAATGCCCACGAAGCAAAGGTCAGGAAACACCACATCCCAGGTCCCTACACATCAAGATTACAGGCTTTCTCTTGTAACCTCGTATATCCCTAAGACCCCCTCTATGATTGGCTTGCAGACAGCAGGGAAGAGGGGCTCTGTAGGGAAGATGAAACTTTGGGACACAGCAGAGAGGATGGGAGAGTTGACCCTGTAGTCGCAAGTTAGCAAGCTTCAAAAAGGCTCTTTAAAAGGAGTGGTATAAGACATTTGAAAGAGGTGACAATATTTGTTCAGAAAATCATTTGAACCTATAAAGGGATTAAGCTGTATGTCCAGTGGAATAAAACACTGAAGATCTCTTTGTTAATTGAGACTTTAAACTCTCGGATCACAAGGCATAAAGTTCTTTTGAATATGAAGGGCTGCCCTAGGCATTGACGTTTTGCTGGCAAAGAGGGGAGGAGAGGAAATAGAGAATGGAATAGAAGGGCCATGTCTGGATGTGCAGTACGTCGCTTCTGCCCACATTCCATTGGTCAGAACTCCGTCATAAGACCCTGCCAAAATGCAAGGGGGGCTGTGGGGCAACCACTACCTAGCTGCAGCAACCCTGCTATGGAAGGGGAGCAGAGCTCTAGTGGCCAGCTGGCATTTCTGCCACATAAACAGGAGGTGTGTGGTGGCGCTCAACCCCACCTGTGTATGAGCATCCCTGGTCGAGCTTTGAAAAAAATGCATGTGCCTGG